TCGAAACCGCATGCCATAGCGAAGCACTATTTTATGCTGTTATCTGCAACGATGTGATACGGATTCAACGATCAAGTCCGTTGATTGTGGCAGAGCAAGCTGTTCAAGGAGCCGCATGAACCATTTCAAAAGCACTCACAGAGAGCATAACATGTAAAAAATCTCTCGGTGAGATAATTTCCAACACTGTGTAAGTTTGTAACGGATAGATGACCCACGAATGACGCCGAAGAAACGAGATCAACGGTGGCAGCCAATACAACAACAAAAATTTCTCGGTCCAACATGTAGTTGTCACTTCACCTTTGAGAGTTCGCACAAACGTCTGGTTCTCATTTAACCAGACGACGACCTCAACACGCGGCCAAGTCAACTTACGCTGAATCACGACCAGCTGGTCACTGCCTATCTTGAGCCTTCTAAACGGTCTACCCACCGTTGCTGGTCTCCTAGCTGCAGGTTAAACTTTACTGACGAACACATTTTGTTCTGCCTTGAGATCACCATCGTCACAATTGGACAATCCAATTGGAGTCAATCAATCAATCATTCATTTCACTGTCATAAATTCTGCACATCTCCTCGTACAACCTCAACCTGACTCTTGTCTCTTGCTTCCTGAAGGCTCATTCACACACGCACATCCACATTTGCTGTAATGAGTGCAAGTCGCTACGAGATAGAGGCGTCACTACGCGCGACTATCTTTGGCGAGATTCAGCTGTGCCGAGACCGAGTTACACTCGAGCCCGTAGTGATAAAGTGTGTGGACTTGTACTTGGCACTGCGACAGACGTCGCGCTCGCAGGAGCTCGTACAGGAGAATGTTCAGCTTGAGGTAGAGGTGATGAACCGCGTGCGTACACTGGGTGGCCACCCGAACGTCATCAATATGCACAGCTACTTTGTGGCCAACGGCGTGCTGCACATGGTGCTGGACTACTGCGAGGGCGGTGATCTGCTGGACGCGTGCGTGCAGTCGTCTGCCACAGCAAAAGAAGTCGAGTACAAGAGCTGCAAAAGTAATAGCAACAACAATCAGAAAGAGGACGCAGTCGTAGCAAATGGAGCACGAGTAATTAATGTATGGAGCCCAGAGGACGAAAACGAAGATGTGGAGAACCACAGTGGATCCTTCTTGAACGATGTGGATGGAAACAAGCGCATGAAGGAAAGCGTTGCGCACAAGTACCTAGTGGATGTGCTTTCTGGGTTGCGTTTCCTGCACAGCAACGGCATTGCCCACCGGGACGTGAGTCTAGAAAACATTCTGATGCGCAACGGGAGTGCTGTGATTACGGATTTCGGGCTGTGCGTGCAGGACTCGTTGTTGTCATCGACGTCATCATTTCACCGTTTGACGGCCCGTGAGTTTCTCTGTGAGGAGATGGTTGGCAAGAACTACTATATGGCACCTGAGGTCGTGGCTCACGAGCACTACGACCCCAAATGCGCCGACATTTGGTCAACTGGTATTGCATTCTTCATCCTATTGACGTCGTCTCCACCGTTTGAGCGTGCAGACCCATCGGACCCGGGATTCCGGTACGTGGCGAAGCGCGGCATCAAGGCGATGTTTACGGCGTGGGGTCTTGATCAGGACGTGTCAGAGCAGATGCAAGACTTGTTGGGGCGGATGTTATGTGTAGATCCAGAGAAGCGCATAACGATGGATGAAATTTGGCAGCATCCAGTTCTGCAGCGGTTGAAGGATAGATCGTTGGTGGGGAGAAGTGGACGATTAGACTAAAGCTAGTCGAGTAAAGATCTGGCGATACGTTGTACTGTAGTAGTAAGAAGTTGGTGTAGAACAAGAGAAGCGGAACTGTGACGTATTGGCCGAGGAGAAAGAAGATAATTAGATAGATGTCAGATAGGAGTTGTGTGAATAATGGAGTATTTGAGGACGAGTGAGATGTCTTATGATTGTTCAGATGGACCGAATCAACGCTAGCACAGTAACATAGCAAATGAGTTACTCCGTATAGGTTGAATATGCAATATAATACATAGTGATAAAGTTAAGACTTGCGGATTGCGTCAACACAATGGAATTGGTGCAAGCAACAAGCAAGACTGGTGCGGCGTTAATTTTACAAACTGTGCGTCTTGAAAATAAGTGAGTGCGTGACTGGGGGTCAATAAGTCTGTCATAGTCGTATAATGGTCGTTTTCAAATGCTTGTTACCAATTAATCTTACACATATGTAATAAAAGTTTCTCCAAGAGCGTTAGTCTCGGTCAGCGCTTGGTTAAGGAGGCCATGAAGCCGTAGGATTTATATTGCTGCCAAAACGAAGTCGCTTCTGGCAAGAGAGGAAGTAAAGACTTACACTGGTTAATATTATTCACTTTGTTGTGTTCTGCCTACGTGCGCTTTTTAACAGACAGGCACAACACGTTAATTTTGGCTATCGACACGATTAAGACCTACATTTTTTATCGGCATAACGGTGTAGGGTAGTTCTTTTGTCATCAGTCTATTCACGCAATAGAAATCTTAATGTTTGCTGATTGATTCTACAGACCGAAGGCCACATTAATCGCATCGCTGTGGCTAAGAACCATCAACGGCAAGAAATTGGACGTAGCTTATTGCAGTATGCTATCGCAACCTTGCGCACGAAGAGGTACGTTTGACGAGCATTCAATCGTGACTGAATTTCACTCCGTGTCTTGGTTGCATCTTATTCATATCTACTTAATGCCTTGCGCTCCAAGGCAGCGGTTATACTACTGGAAGTGGACACAGCAAATACACGGGCCATTGCACTGTACGAGTCACAGGGTTATAAAAGCACCACTGTACGCGTCGACTATTATAATCCCGGTCGCAACGCAGCTTGCCAATTCACACCTGTAATTCGTGTGGCGATGCCATATGCAAGCTATACGGAGTGACTCATTTGCTATGTTACTGCCAGCGTTGATTCGGTCCATCTGAACAATCATAAGACATCTCACTCGTCCTCAAATACTCCATTATTCACACAACTCCTAGCTGACATCTATCTAATTATCTTCTTTCTCCTCGGCCAATACGTCACAGTTCCGCTTCTCTTGTTCTACACCAACTTCTTACTACTACAGTACAACGTATCGCCAGATCTTTACTCGACTAGCTTTAGTCTAATCGTTCACTTCTCCCCACCAACGATTTATCCTTCAACCGCTGCAGAACTGGATGCTGCCAAATTTCATCCATCGTTATGCGCTTCTCTGGATCTACACATAACATCCGCCCCAACAAGTCTTGCATCTGTTCTGACACGTCCTGATCAAGACCCCACGCCGTAAACATCGCCTTGATGCCGCGCTTCGCCACGTACCGGAATCCCGGGTCCGATGGGTCTGCACGCTCAAACGGTGGAGACGACGTCAATAGGATGAAGAATGCAATACCAGTTGACCAAATGTCGGCGCATTTGGGGTCGTAGTGCTCGTGAGCCACGACCTCAGGTGCCATATAGTAGTTCTTGCCAACCATCTCCTCACAGAGAAACTCACGGGCCGTCAAACGGTGCAATGATGACGTCGATGACAACAACGAGTCCTGCACGCACAGCCCGGAAATCCGTAATCACAGCACTCCCGTTGCGCATCAGAATGTTTTCTAGACTCACGTCCCGGTGGGCAATGCCGTTGCTGTGCAGGAAACGCAACCCAGAAAGCACATCCACTAGGTACTTGTGCGCAACGCTTTCCTTCATGCGCTTGTTTCCATCCACATCGTTCAAGAAGGATCCACTGTGGTTCTCCACATCTTCGTTTTCGTCCTCTGGGCTCCATACATTAATTACTCGTGCTCCATTTGCTACGACTGCGTCCTCTTCTGATTGTTGTTGCTATTACTTTTGCAGCTCTTGTACTCGACTTCTTTTGCTGTGGCAGACGACTGCACGCACGCGTCCAGCAGATCACCGCCCTCGCAGTAGTCCAGCACCATGTGCAGCACGCCGTTGGCCACAAAGTAGCTGTGCATATTGATGACGTTCGGGTGGCCACCCAGTGTACGCACGCGGTTCATCACCTCTACCTCAAGCTGAACATTCTCCTGTACGAGCTCCTGCGAGCGCGACGTCTGTCGCAGTGCCAAATACAAGTCCACACACTTTATCACTACGGGCTCGAGTGTAACTCGGTCTCGGCACAGCTGAATCTCGCCAAAGATAGTCGCGCGTAGTGACGCCTCTATCTCGTAGCGACTTGCACTCATTACAGCAAATGTGGATGTGCTGTGTGTGAATGAGCCTTCAGGAAGCAAGAGACAAGAGTCAGGTTGAGGTTGTACGAGGAGATGTGCAGAATTTATGACAGTGAAATGAATGATTGATTGATTGACTCCAATTGGATTGTCCAATTGTGACGATGGTGATCTCAAGGCAGAACAAAATGTGTTCGTCAGTAAAGTTTAACCTGCAGCTAGGAGACCAGCAACGGTGTGTAGACCGTTTAGAAGGCTCAAGATAGGCAGTGACCAGCTGGTCGTGATTCAGCGTAAGTTGACTTGGCCGCGTGTTGAGGTCGTCGTCTGGTTAAATGAGAACCAGACGTTTGTGCGAACTCTCAAAGGTGAAGTGACAACTACATGTTGGACCGAGAAATTTTTGTTGTTGTATTGGCTGCCACCGTTGATCTCGTTTCTTCGGCGTCATTCGTGGGTCATCTATCCGTTACAAACTTACACAGTGTTGGAAATTATCTCACCGAGAGATTTTTTACATGTTATGCTCTCTGTGAGTGCTTTTGAAATGGTTCATGCGGCTCCTTGAACAGCTTGCTCTGCCACGATCAACGGACTTGATCGTTGAATCCGTATCACATCGTTGCAGATAACAGCATAAAAAAATAGTGCTTTGCTATGGCATGCGGTTTTGACTTCTTGAAGGTCATTGACCCCAACGAAACGTGTTGATCTCTTATTGTTATTCTTATTATATAAAAAGCGCTGGCGTTATGGGGTGCAGTGCTTGATGCTTGACTAGATAGCCGAATGTAAACGCTTTTCTGCGCAAATTTCGATGTAAAAAAAGCATTTACAGTACTGTCTCAAACACAGAGCATGCAAATAACGTTACAGCTGAGTAAAGCAAAAATAGAGCCCTAAAAAGCTTAGGTATGAATTTATGTCTAATATTTAGCTTATCATGCCACCTATATCAGACTA